ATATAATATAAGAATCTTACACCGGCTGCCAAGTACAGACCGGAATATCTAGCTCGAGGGTAATTGTTTTACGGCGGTTACAAACAAGGCTCTGCTGCTGAGTTTCCGCTAAACAGTTACCCGAGAGCTAGAAATTCCCGTCTGTACCACAAGCCGGTGTTTGATTCTTTTTCTTGCATACTACATGTCATTATTTTCGGAACAGAAATTATGAAAACTGATATTCTCATTAAGTACTTTTTTCTTATAGTAGCGTATGAACTTACAACTTCATACATAACGGAAAAATGATGTCATCCTATGAACGTGATTCATTCATAAAAGGTGCATGTCAATGACGTCATTTAAAGCACGCGACTTGTCTTACATGGGAGATGTAAGACAAAGTTTTCTAGCACCGGTGTAAACGGTAGATAATCCTGTCTGATATGCAAGAATAAAACAATTATTGATTAGAGTGCCATTGAATATGATGTGATATTCACTGGCAGAAAGACATATTAACCTCGGTTATGGCCTCTGTCAATATGTCATCTGCCGGTGAATATCACATCATATCTAATGGCACAGTAGTCAATAATTGTATAGTAATATATGTCCTCGTATATTGTACATGAGTCCAGACCCTTTAACTATTGATTCTGCCCTTTGTTAAAAACTTAAAAGTGATATTCTTGATGAAAGAGCTTTAACTTTATGCAATATCATTTGAAGTCAAGCTTTAAACACAAATTTTAATTTCTAATTTTCCATAACTAGGGTAAGGGTCTGTAAAAAATATTCAATTAGGGTCATCAAAACTGCTTCAAGGTCAAAGCAGGGAGGTACACATGTAATTTTAAAGGAATATTATTACATTCTATGTTGTAAAATTAAAAAGATAAAGAACTGCATACTATAACTTCCTAAAATTACTTAATGCAAAACTATGCTAATTAAAGTTAGATTAGTTTTGCACTGCTGATTTTTTGTTGGTTGAAAAAAAAATTAGTGCAAAACACATACTAAGTTGACTTAACCTAGTTTTGCAGTAACTAATTTGATCAGTTTGACTTAGCATGTTTACTTGAAATTTAAATATAATCACTAATACAGGGAATATGTTCAAAATATTTTGAGGGATAAAGGGGTGTTTGATTAGCTTTCAGAATTTAAAAAAAAGTCCATTTTGGTGAAATATAGACTTAGATGAGTTTTGCGTTGAGCCATCGATACACAAGTGCCTACTTCTTTATTTACAGAAAAGTTGGTTTACTGAATAAAACTGAACTATTGATGAAATAATAGTTCATTACTTTTAATAAGCTTCTTTAGACTAAAATTGATATGCAGATAGCCTATTGACATCAGTAAGGGACCAGAAGGGGTTCTAAGGGGATCAAAAGGGGACCTGGTGATGATTGTATGGGATCAGATGAGGGAACTGTAGGTCTTCTTAGGCCAAGGGCATGAGGGCTACAATTACCTCAGCTGTCTAACTAACAATCTGGCCTATGAAGAAACCATCTTTACATATCTTTAAAAAAACATATGTTACTTATCTCCCCTTATCTATAGAAAGGAGACATTACCAACAGAGACAACTACATTGATACTTAGAGAAATCTCCTTGTCTATAGTGGTACTACAGTACTACTAACATGTACCCCCTTCAAGGTCTTGGTCTCTCGAGAGGGTAGATTAGAGAAACACCATTATCTCATCAAAGATAAAATCAGATCTTATATTTTTCAAGAGATCACAGGTGCATGAAAAAAATGATGAATTCTTACTTTTATTCTTTGCAAGAAATGATGAAAAAACAACTGAAATTTTCAGCTGGAACAGATTCTTCACAAATGATAAGGAAATTGTGACTGAAGTCTTTAAATGCCAATGACGTAGCAACAGTAAAATGTTGATATAAATTGTTTGTTTTTTTATTGTAATTGAAAACCCTTCAAAATAACAAAGGAAATTTAAAGAAGCAGCAAGTCATGTCCATTGGGGTTCTTAGCTTTGATGGTAAACATGACCAAATAAGTCTGGGGATAGTTTTAATGTCACGAATGATTGTTCTTTTAACTATTTTTCGCCTATTCTATAAAATTACATGTTGCTATTTGACAATTCCTTTATCATTACAGTTCAATAATAGTAGAACTTGATTTTAACAACAATACTATATTATGGCAAATAAAATCATGAGTTTCCACACTGAACAAAGTTATTCTTCTAACAAGCCCCCCCCCCCCCCCCCCCCCAAATCCTCAAAACCAAGAGAGAGCATTATTTACACAAACTTCAAGACATAAGTATGTGACATTTCAAAGTCAGACTCTTCTAGCATTTTCAATAATTAGATTTATTTCCCGTTAAAGGAAGTAAATTCCATCCCTTTTTGCTGTTTTAAATTCTTAAGAACTCCCAAGAATGGTAAACAAGTGCCGAGAAATTGTCACAGAATTCCCCCGAGCTGTTTCGAGAACACACCAGACAAAATCAATGTGCATTTATATGTTTCTAAACTGCAAGGTTTCTATATATTACCAAGTGATTACTCTCTTTCCTAAAGGAAATAACGTTAGTTTTCTGTCTGAAGCAGAAATTACTTTATGACCCTAAAAACTTGACTATCCTAACTCTATCCACAATAGGGTGTTGCCTATATGACCATATAGTTTGACATTGTTTGCAGTTGAATTAAATGGCAATAGATGTTACCTGGAATCGGAAAATGTGTTTCCTTCCCCCCCCCCCATCTTAATTCAGGTGCAAACTTTTACTTTTATAGCTTCAGGGTGCACTGCTGTTCAGAATATAGAGTGATCAATGCCTTGTGCTTATTAGCGATATGTTTACTAAGTTATTACTGTTAAAGTTTGTTTGTAGCCAGAAAAAAAACAAAAAAAAGTTGCCAAGTTCCAACAATTGAACAATTCCAAATTCAAATAAGGACTTCATTATTTCAATTTCAATTTTGACAAACAACATCGGTCACTATCATAACATGCACTTAAAAAGAACAGGCACCATTCGTTTAGAGTGAAAACTACCAACATTTATGTAATAAATATGAGAGAAATTCAATGCTCTTAATAAACTCTAAAGAAACGTTAAATACAAGTCTGCTGGTGTGAATGACATCGATTAAATAAGGAAATTATTTATGAATAATAATCATTAAATGCTTCTTAATTGGGACAGTGAGAAGAGAAGGATATATAACATGTATTAGACGACCTTCAACACTTACCCTACTGATGACAATTGTATTTACCGTGGTGAACAGTGCAGACCAAGATCAGATGGCATATCATTCTGTACCATGTAATCATGGTCTGCACTGTTTGCTATTCACTCACTACTTTTTTTGAAACTTTACCCATTACTGACAAATGGTTTTGTCCAGACTGAAGGATGGACAAGTCCATTTAGGATATTTAGAGTTGCAAAGGATAACCCTTTGAATGATAACAATAATGATTTCCCTCTGCCTAGAATAGAGTCAACAGCTGACAAATTTTTCATAAAGATGTAATGAAAGTTGAATTTCATACAACACAACTTGAGACTAAAAGAGACTGGAAAATAGCAAAAATCAGACAATTTATGACTAAATACCACAAAGAGAACACTGTAAGTCTAATTCAAGTTAGTAATACTTTACAGCCTTTAAATCATGACCACAAAGTAAATATATATCAGTATAATCAAATGTATTCATTTCCTATCCTTCCCCTATTAAGCATGAAAAACCTATTCACTCATACATGCTAATGACAACAATTTTGATCCATTTACCTAAACCTGACATTTTGCTAAAATCTACATCGTTTTCCCCAAAAGGAATTATTTCCAGTAGATATAAAAGCTGATAGTTAAAGGTTAACCATGACAAATGTATTCATTTTTTTTGCTCACTATGAAGAAAGCTTGAACCAATTCCGAGTCTACTGTCTTGAACTTACCAGGACTGCATGGTGGTATAACAGGAAGCATAGTTCTGACACCGGTCAGGTTCGAACCCAAGGTTAAGAGGTAGACACTTTAATCACTTACCCACTGATCCCCTTAAAGCATATTTAAAAGGTCAGTCCATCAACATAGCAAGATTTTTTTCCCTGAATCAAAATGCAATTGCTATTCAATTAAAAACTAATTTTCATTTTTTGTGAACTCTGCCTTTCGGCTTATATTTTGGCTATTTTCATTTGGTTGTTTTGTTGGGTTTTTTAATTTGGAAAAATTCCCAAGAAAACTAGAGAATCTGAATTGAGCAGAGGTCAGACAAAGAGTAGCTTTCAACATTCTCTGGTAATTAGTTCCTATTTTAGAGATCAATTAGGCACAAGGTGTTTTTAGACACATTAGACACACCATTTTGTTCATGCCAGGTAATATCTCAACAGATTCTGATAGATTTGCACTGAACTTCACTTGAATCTTGTGCTTGATTACACAATCCAGCTAATAAAATGTTTTGTTTTTTTAAAGTATGACCTTGACATTCACTAGGTGATTATCCAAAATTAACTTGTTAAAATTTCCATTTCCAGGAAACGCACTTGTAAGTGGCTCCAATAAACTACTATGAATATAAGGTAGTTGGAATGGCTATATCCTGGAATAGACCCCCAGTAAAATTATATAAGATAATGTTCAGTGCCTTTTCATTAGTTTATTACAAGTTTTACTCCTAGAAAATACATTGGGGTCTAATCCAGGAGATTGCCGTTGGAAAATAAACCAGAGCCATATAATTGTCAAAGGGCACAGATGATTCTAGACTGGTGCAAAAGGTTTTGCAAATTCAGTGTCAGCTTTGTTAAGGACTAAAATGATGATAATCAACCTGTTTTTCTCTCCAAAATGCTGGAACAATCTTCACCACAGCAATCAGAGGTAAGGCCAGGCCGGATTGCACAACCATGTTAACAGACAAGGTCATCTACTATTGGCATACAGAGAAAGACTGTACAGTTAATGTACATTAAGGATGAAAAAATTAAAGAACTCACCAGTACTGTATAGATGGATGTTCCTTTAGGGCACTTGTTGTTATCAAAGGAAGCTTCTTTAAATCCCCTTTTGTTGTATTATCACTGAAATTAAAGAATAAAATCCAGTCTTTATTTTTTCAAAACCACAAAAAAATAAAGTCATACAGTTACAGTTTCCATAATTCCATACAGAAAAACAAACACTGGCAATTAATCCACAAACTTCATAAAACCATTTTTCTGTTTATTATATAAACATGAACAATTCGCAAACTTTGTAAAACAGTAAGTCTGTATAAAATATAAACTAATTCAAGCACTTTGTATAACCATAATTCTGTATTAAATATTTACTGTCGTTAAAAATGTATTATCGGTGCAATGCTTTCACTTGCAAGCTGTGCTACACCAAGTTTTGTATAGGTTTTTCCGTACAGAATGTCAATGCATATTTTGTAAAACAAAACAAGCATGCACTACTTTTTCCTGTGAAAATCGGCTCAGGATAAGCTATTATACAACTTCCAATAATCAATCAATGAGAAATATTCCCAGGAAGCTGTCTTCATTCCTAAACAGTTATAAACTATTAAATAATTGCTGCTCCCAAATGATTTCAATAATATCTACCATTTGTATAAAACAGAAACATTTAACAACACAAAAATTCATTGCAAAAGTTCCCTTTTCATTTCTTAAACGGAGGCTTTCTTAAATTCAACTGATGTCCGAACCTCCAATGCTATTTTAATTAAAATAATGCTCAAAATCGCACGAAGGCATCACTGAATCCTGGCACAGAAGAGATTCTCTCCAATTTTCATCAATCAACAAAATAATATGTTACAAATGTACTATATATTTCTCAATCACATTTTATATATATCCTTCCCCTCACATTACTACTTTCTATAAGCATGTATTTCCATTCACACAAGGGTAATCAAGTGGTAAAAACTTACGGCTTCTAACGACAATTTCCTTCTAATTAATTAATCAAAACTGGTATACATTGGTCCCAAATGAAAAACAAAATAAATTCGATGTCCACGTAGCAGTCATGCATGTAACAAATTTTGTTAATTCAAATCCTAATATTCCACTAACTAGGTCACTTTCATCAATGACCAAACAATCAGTATTTATTGCAATTGATTTTGATTCTCACAGAATTCAGCAGGTTTGAAATAAAAGTCTGATCTAAGCTTTAGAAAGAAAATTCCCTAAAATTTCTGCGCATATTGATTGCTCTACACAGTCAGCGCAAATTTTCCAGAATTTCCATCTTAAATGTCACTGACTTGACAGTTTTAATTAATATCCAAACAGAAAATTTCTTGCCGAAGACAACACTTAAGCCTCTTAATTAACTGTCAATTATGTCGAAATTACAGCATTTGAAACTCGTCTGTTCTTAACATGCAATAATACATGTATATAAAAAATTGTTAAATTTGTCTTTTTTTTTAATTAATAAATAAAACGACAGAAAAAATTCACTGAAAGAATTCAAAAACCATTGAAATAGCACTTTAACCAACCCACATGTATACAGGAATAAAATCATATCAATATCTCATGTTTTCTTAAATTACCTTTTACCATTGAGTAATATTTAACCTTCTGACATTCCCACTTTAAATTTCACTCTTTTATCAAATTGAAAAATAGAAAAAAAAAAGGATATTTTTATATCATAAATCACGAAATCAATATTCAAAGAACTTAAATTCCTTTATCAATTTTGTTTATTGCGGTATCTTCAAAAATTTACAACCTCTCAGGAATAAATCAATAAAGATATATCAGAAAAACGTATATGGCCTAGATTTTTACAGTCTGAATTGTCAATTGTTTCCCTCTCAAGTACTTGATAATGGCATAATTGGATTTTTGATAAAAACTCTTGACAAAAGTTATAAACCACCTCAACATTTCTTTCATGCCAGTCATGAACAATGAAGTGAAAAATTAAAATAATGTATATCTTATTTTTATATAATTTTAACCATTAGCCTGTTGGCAGCGACTGATTTTACCTGTCAGACAAGAACTGACCAAGATCAGCCAGCAAATCCATGCAATCTGAACTCAGTACCAGTACTATACAAGTTTTTACCAGTGTCAACAAATCAGTCCAGGAACAATGGCAGTGGCAGAAACTTGTACAGTACTGGATACGTTAACAAAGGGCACGTTATATTATGTTAGACAGTGCCCTGACCTTCTAAGGGCTTCATAACAAGAGCCTGGATATTACACGCATTTTCTAAATGCACAAAGGGGAATAATTTAGAGAGAAATGATCCATGCTTGAGTTAGTGGTCTTGGTTACTGACCTTAAATTTTAACATCGAAGAAGATATGAGCAAGTTTTTTATGTTTACAAAGGGAAACAATTCAGTCAAAATCTATGCTAGAATTATGGTTCTTAGAAGTCAGAAACAATAAGAATTATTCAAACACGAGTAAAGTTCAAACAAATACTGAATAATGAATTGGACTTCACACAAAACCATAACCAGTTGTAATGCAAATGCAGACGCCAAGGTGAGTAGTATTAACACCTATATTCAACCACACAATCACTACTTGACATAACAATAAATTAAACATTGATCTGCTGTTGAATGAGCAAACTGAAAATGTATAAACAACTGTTAGATTTCCAGGATGCCTTCATGAAAAACTACCTTGGTAATCCAATATATTTTCTGTAAAATTCAGAACAGAGGGAAAAAAATCATTTTGAACAAACAAAATCAGATTAGCCATCCAAACAATGGAAGTTTTCACAATGCTGCAGCAGCCATAAACTGTAAAACTGGTATAATATAATGATTAAACATTGCTATACAATCTTATTACCAGAACTGCCTTCAAATTTATTTGATTATGTCCATACAGGCAAACAATATCAGTCAATTTATTGATAAATGAAAGCTGGTGAAGAAATGCAATATTTACTGCATCTGATTCGGCATCTAAAAATGTTGTCTTGGTAAAAAAAAACAAAAAAACAAGAATTTTTTGATTAATATCATCATTGAAGACATAAATATAGATTTTCAAATGTTTTATATGACTAGAAATTATATTGCTTGCTAGTGCTTTTGTTTGTTTGTTTCATTTTACGCCTTTTCCAAATAAATGACGTAATCTTAGTTATCTTTTGTTTGCCATCTTTTCATTTCAGTCCTTAACCACAAACCTGCATTCTGGATCTGTACAGAATCTATTTGCACTGTTGTATTTGGAACTGTCTTTTAGTAGTTTATGGCATTTCTATATTAAAGTAATGGAAATTGTTTAGTCAACAGTATTAAGTACTGATCATACTGCAAGGTTGTAAAGACTGGCTTGGCTATAATACTGGTGGCAAATTTGAATCTATTTGGTTCAAGCATTTGAAATTCTATCTTAATTAACACCTAACGAAGGCATAGATTTAGGAACAAGAAGAACTTCTGAATAAGCATTTTCTTAAAGTGTAAACCTTACAATGCTGAAACAGATATAACAATGCCTTAACAAACCATGAGAGAATCAGGCCATTGCAGGCTGACCTGGTTCTATAATGCTGGTATATCCCAACAACTGATAACTGGCTATGTTTCATAATGGAAGCTGAACAAGCAAAAGGTTAAGATTTGAGTTATTCAGGCTAACAAAACAGCTTAACCTTTACACTGCTGGAAACGAAAGGGACCAGCCTTTGCCACCAGTATAGAGCCAGGCCAGCCTGCTTATTCCTGCAGCCTGACCAGGCTCTACAGCTGTCAATGATATTGGAACCCCTTTAACTTTGAATATACAGTCTTGAAAGTAGGTGGACAAGTCCATTTTAGAAACTCAGCTGATAAAGGGTTAATGGTATCTAGGTAATCTAAAAATCTAGTGAAATGCAATCAAAGAGAAACATGTCTAGTATTGATTCTCCCTGAAAGATCTTCTATTTTATATATAAACATCGGAAACACTGCTCTTATTTACGGACCTACATCTTCTAAACTGAATGGGAAATGCAAATACAATTATAATGAACATCTCCATTCCAAGGAAATCACTCGATCATTCCAGAGTACAACCATTATAAGTCTTCATATAGCACTGGCCTAAGACATTTATTTGCATGTTTTCTCACAGTAACAAGATTTAATTTGTATATTGACTGCCTCATAGAAATATCTCACTGCAATGAGATATAAATCATAGCACTATTAAAACAGCTGAATCGCAGAAATTCAAAATATTATTTAAAATGCATTGTCTGAATTTGTGTTTACAGACCACCTCATAATAAGCCCATTACAATACCAGTAAAACCTGCCTCTTTCTCATAAATCACGATGGAAATAAACTGCACTCATTAGCCTAATATCTTTTATAATCTTGTAAAAATAAAATATGATAATCACATTTTCAGGAATTTCAACTTTCAAAAGTATTAAATCAAGCAAATGAAATCTGATGAAAAAAATAAAATTACTTTGAAAAAATAAAACAATAAAAATCTTCAAAAAGATTTCTTATTTTACAGCATGCTAAGTTGTTGTTTTCCCCTCTGGGGAGCAAGCTTGAAAGTTATGTAAACTGAACTTCCATATTTCAAGAAATATGTCCCTTGGAGACAAACACTGTTTATCAATCTATAAAACATCCTAATGTATCTTTAATGCCCCTAGAGAACACTACATTAAGATCTTTATAAAATATATACTGCAGTGATACCATGTTTAATTTCATAATAAAACATGGTGGCAACAGAACATCTTGATATAAGTTTCAAGATTTTTTCCAAAAGATGTTAATCTACAATGATTAAAAAACTTAAAAATCCAACTATAAATAAAACCAGCTGACACAAAAAGACTGGTTAGTTTGGAGCACTTAATGGCAAGGTTAGTATATGCATTGTATATATTTTATCTCAATTCTTAATCATTAATAAATCTATTTCCACACTGCATTATATGACCTTATTTTCACAACTATTGGTTTTATTTTTTATTTACAGGATGTTCTCAGTTTCCTTTTCAAATCTGAACGAATTACAAAGAAATTTGACCCACTGGTTACACAAATACTTGACCTAATTATATAGTACTCTGACCTAATTACATAGCAATTTGACCTAATTTCATTGTATTTTGACCTTATTCTATAGTAACTTGACCTAATTACAAATTAAGCTCTTCTGCTAAATGAGCCATTTGTTTCACTCTAATTATATTGTGACTTTAAATGCCATTAAGGCATCAAGTAACAGAGAAATTGGGCAACTAAAAATAGAAACAGCAGATCCCTTCTTTCTTTTAATGTCTAGTAAATTAAATCAACATTAAATTGATTCCTCTAAAAATAAATAGAAAGAGAGAACAGAATCTTCCCCATGTTTTAATTCATCAGACACTTGGTAAATTGTTAAGTTTTTTTTCTTGGACCACCAGTTGTGTTTCTATTGAACCAGATCTATTTCCTGTTTAAGGGAATTAGATACTCGTAAATTAATAAAAACTTGATAATGGTACAAGTGCATGTTTTCTGAGTGTTTATGTAGGTAAAATCATTGGTGAAAAACACACAAAAGAAAAACATCCACAGTGATGCTTTAAAAAGAGAAGTACAAAAGTGAAATACTTTTGGAAAGGCATTTGAGATTATGAAAATGAACATAAATTGACAGAAAGAATAAAAGTGAACATAAAATCAAAATGAAAGTTAACTTTCAACTTCTCCACAATAACACTATCAAAGCCTTATTGTAACTTTCAAGTTCAGCTTGTGGAGGAAAACTTCTGAAGCTACTCTTGTGCTTTATTTCAGACTCAAACAGGCATCTAATTAGCATAATCTAAATTAGCATTACAGAAAAAAGTTAAAATGTCTTTGAGACTGAATCAGTCCCCGTTTAATTCAGTCATAAACACAGACAAAACAAACATACTCCACAACTAACACCTTTATGAGAAAGAAAGAGGTAAGTAAGCCCCCTATATGGCACAAGCAGCAAAGTCAAGTCACATAGTTATCTTGTGATTCTTTATCTGTCATACCACTTTGTTTTTTAATTAAGACTTTGAATTATGACAATTAAAAAACTTAAAAGTGGACAAAAATCCAAATGTCAAGAAAAATGGTATATCAATACTTACTCTACATAATCTCCTACAGTGGCCTGCAAGACATGGGCTGCCAATTCAAACACAGTTTCACTATCACATTCAATTTGGCCCTGAAATAAACAATAAATAAATTCTAAATTATGAAATTTATTGTCATACCTCTATTGTGTGAAGTTTGTAATGAGTATAGTTAAACTATTATCATATTTTACATATTCTATTAACTGCTGAATTTGTGAAATGGATTTGCCCTGCTTTGAATTTGGAATGATCCTTCTTTAGGTCCTGCTGAATTTGTAAAATGGATTTGCCATTCTTTAAATTTGAAACTATCCATTTCATTTTCAAAGGGTCTCAATGACATTAAAAACAAATTTAGCTGCCAACAGTATAGAGCCTGGTCAGACTGCACAGATATGCCAGCTGGCCTGGCTGTGTACTAATCTCTTTCAGTGCCAGCAGGTTAAAGAATCTAATGACAATATTGGCAACAAAACCATATCAACTTTTCTTCACATCCAAGGCATGCTCATGGCATCCGAGTCATAGTCTTGCTAAAACAATGTGTTATTAAGGTAACTCTAAAAGAATCCTTGTCTCCACAGAAATTCAGCATTTTCAAGCAAAGAAGGTACTCATGGTAATTATTTGACCATGACCTAACCAGACAAACACACATATACATATAGTTTTATCAAAAATATCAAAACAGTTAACCAGTCTAACCAAATGCTTTATGATGCACAACCCTAAAAGAAACTTCTAACATGTTTTCTTAAAACAATAAAATTTCTTCTTTTTTTATCATTATCATTTATGCTTTAATACTTACTGTTTCATTGCTCAAAAGTAACAGCTTTTCTCTTTTAATATCAATATTGTATTACATCCAATAGAAGTACTAATTCTCTACCAATTATCTAAAACACTTTTCCTTATTACTTTCATTACAAGCCATAAATCAATCCCACAGCAAATAGGTAAATTGAGGATGCATTTCTGAGAGAAAATTTTCAGAAGTTGCATTGATAGAGGAGGGGGGGGGGGGGGGTGAAAGAAAAAAACAACAGGAACATTTCCTACAAAAACAATAGCTCGGAATTATCAGGACATAGATAAGATATTCTGACAGTCAATTACCTATCCTACCAGGTGAAATACAGAGTTACAGCAATGTTGCTCCTGTATCAGCAAACATTAATATCATAAAATTACTCGAAAGTGTTTCATTGTGTTTTTTTCTTCCAGGAATAACAATATAACTATGCTGAGAAATGTTTTGTTTGCATAGCTGAACTTTACGAGTTTCAAAATTAGATGCACAAATTGCTCCGTAAATTGGTTTCTCCTACAGAAAATGCAGTACTTTGCAATAAGACCATTAATCTTATTACGATAATGAGTTTAAAGATGTATTTCCCCATTACATGCAGCACTGTCTCGCCCACATAATTTTCAAGGCATTATATAACAGGCTGTTTTTTTCACATTATATATAAAATGCATAATTTATGTATAGGCAATGAATTACAGACTACAAGAAAACTGTCTTTTGAACTAGTAGCAAAATGAAGACATTATATTGGTTAAATACGAAATTTAAATTCAAAACAGCCACATGGACACACTAAGCTTTAAGAGAAATTCTCTCTCTTGTGTCTGAAGTTCATGTATTGAACATTTCAAATTCTGTGAGATTTAACCCTGTTTAGCCACAGGGCTCCAATAGAGTAAAGTAATAAACTCAGGGATTTTTTCCAGGATTTTGGGAACATGACCCATACCCATGGAATTTGGAATTTCAGCGGAGTTTTTGGGGACAAAATGCATGACTGAAATTTTGCAGTGATTAAATGAATGCAAACAATTATTGTTTGGGATGGCATCTTCAAACATGTAAGCACTATTATAGTGAAGAAGTCCTTATTTTCAAAGATTTTAGAATTTTTGATTCCAGATTTTTATTTTGTAACTTTCAGTTGGGAATTTTTTCCTGTGGATTGGGAAAATAATATTCTATTTTCAATTAGGACTATGACCCAATAACGACTATGAAATAAGCCAAAAAAATCCCTGAAACTATCTTAATTCTTGTATGTTATTGACAGGCCTATGCCAATATTAAGAGGCCTTAATACCAACTCTAAACTTTATAAACTGCAAAATCATTACTTTTTCATGGGGCACTATTTTTTCATGGTTTTCTTGGGTAGTTTGTTTGATTGGGTATAACGTCACACTGACACAGTATAAGTCATATGGCAACATTCCAGCTTTACTGGTGGATGGAGACCTCAGTTGCCCATCTGTGAGCTGAGCTGGATAGGTTTTCTTGGGTGAGTCAATCCATTGAATTTAAATCCAACAAAAATTCATTTTGTCTACTGTAACATTATTTTGCATTACATTATTTCCATTTCACTTTAATGCAAAAATAGATGAACCACCAATGTAAGAACTTACAAAAATGATGTTTGTGACAAAACCATGAAATTTAATGGCCACAAAATTAAATGAATCCAAAGTAGTCATTGGCTTAATTCTTGCCTCATAATGTTATAACCCCTCAAATTAGCAAAGGACAATTATAAAAATAAAGAAGGAAAAAATCCATACACAGTTAAAGCAGTAAAGAATACATTAAGTGATCTTCAAGCCAAGTATAAATGTTTATAATGGGAGAAAATCAATGCTAATTTAATGAAAAGTCTAGACAGGAAACAATGTCAAACTTGAATTCTGAGACCACTGTTCAAAGACATTACTTTATGGCCATACTCAAGTCTTTAACTTACACATTGTCTGGCCAGAACATGTTATTGAGCTTTATTTCCACACTGGCTTTGTTCAAAGACTTGCCAAATGACTTCTAGCTTAAACTAGAACTATCACTAAATGTGATTAATACCCCCACAAGACTGTTTCGGAAATGAGGATGTTACTAGTAACAGAATACCTTGTAAAAGAGTTGAAATATAGAGTTATGGTTGTTGGCAATTAAAGATACCGGTAGTTGTGGTTCTTGTATGTTGCATTTCATTTCAATGTGGTTGGCCATTGATGAAGTTTAATTGAATTACTCTGTAATAAGTCCAGAAAGACAAAGAAAAGGAACAAAGGGCAAAAACTCTATAAAAACTGAAGATAGAGTTACAGTTCTTGTGCACTGCACTTCCTCTTTTTGTGCTTGAACATTGTATGAAGTTGTTTTGAATTCCAACCAGTACGTTTTAAGTTATGCTCAGGACAAGGAAAAGTATCGAAGGGCAGTAACTCTGTATTTTGTCAAAATGGAGTTATGGCTCTTGTGCACTGTACTTCCTTTCAATGTTCTTGACGACTGTATGAAGTTGTACTGAATTCCAAACAGTAGTTTTCAAGTTATGCTCTGGACAAGGAAAAGTAACAAAGGGCAATAACTCTGTAATTAGTCAAGATGGAGTTATGGTTCTTGTGCACTGCACTTCCTCTCAATGTGCTTGACCATTGTATGAAGTTATATTGAATTCCAACCATTAGTCTTCAAGTTATGCTCCGGACAAAAAAGCAATGGAAAAGTAACAAAGGGCAATAACTCTGTAATTAGTCAAGATGGAGTTATGGTTCTTGTGCACTGCACTTCCCCTTATTGTGCTTGACCATTGTATGAAGTTGTTTTGAATTCCAACCAGTAGTTTTCAAATCATGCTCTGCACAAGGAAAATTAACGAAGGGCAGTAACTCTGTAATTAGTCAAGATGGAGTTATGGTTCTTGTGCACTGCACTTCCTCTCAATGTGCTTGACCATTGTATGAAGTTATATTGAATTCCAACCATTAGTCTTCAAGTTATGCTCCGGACAAAAAAGCAATGGAAAAGTAACAAAGGGCAATAACTCTGTAATTACTTTAAATAGAGTTATGGTTCTTGTGCACTGCACTTCCCCTTATTGTGTTTGACAATTGTGTGAAATTGTTTTGAATTCCAACCAGTAGTTTTCAAGTTATGCCCCGGACAAGGAAAAGTAACAAAGGGCAATAACTCTGTAATTAGTCAAGATAGAGTTATGTTTCTTGTACACTGCACTTCCTCTCAATGTGCTTGACCATTGTATGTAGTTATATTGAATTCAAAACATTAGTCTTCAAGTTATGCTCCGGACAAGGTAAATGCAACGGACAAAAAAAAAAAGCAATGGAAAAGCAACAAAGGGCAATAACTCTGTAATTACTTTAGATAGAGTTATGGTTCTTATGCACTGCACTTCCCCTTATTGTGTGTGACAATTGTGTGAAGTTGTTTTGAATTCCAACCAGTAGTTTTCAAGTTATGCCCTGGACAAGGAAAAGTAACAAAGGGCAATAACTCTGTAATTAATCAAGATAGAGTTTATGGTTCTGTGCACTGCACTTCCTCTCAATGTGCTTGACCATTGTGTGTAGTTATATTGAATTCCAAGCATTAGTCTTAAAGTTATGCTCCGGACAAGGAAAATGCAACGGACGTCTGGACCGACCGCGAACCGACCGACCAACCGACGACCGACGACCGACGACGACCACCGGGTGACTCCTATATACCCCCCCAAACTTCGTTTTTGGGGGTATAATTATAGGTAAATTTCAATTTTTTCTTTTTTTTTCTTCTTTTTTTTTGGGGGGGGGGGGAGGTGTTCCATTACCCTGCTGGAACCAAAAGTGATAACCCTTTGCCACCAGTATAGCTAGAGCCATGTCATTCTAAATATGCATGCATTTTTAAACTTGCTCAGTACTGTTGCCTGACAAACTTTAAAATTTCTTCTTCATACCCCTTAAATTGGTAATGGACAGTTCCAAAACTGGAAACTGGACAAGTACATTTAAGAAATTCAGTAAATTATGGGTAAACTAACATAGTTGCTACACTGTAACACAGGACAAGATTTGAACTCAACTTTGAACTGAATAATGCAAGTCTCTTGCAAAATCTATAGCTCCCCTTACCAAAGACTGACTTAGACCGCTGCTATCAGTTGGAAGTAATTCAAATGTTGAGTGAAACAACAAAGCACACATCTCAATCATTAAGGAAAAGGTCCACTTGGGACTCTGACCAACTCAAACATGATTGCCAACTAATTATTCCACA